AGTTCGAGCAAACGCTCACTCGACTATTAAGCCCAAGGGCTACTCTCAATGCAAGTTCAGGAAAATGCTCACTCGGTTATAAAGACTATAGGTCCGACATCGATTAAATTGCCTAAAGCCTCGAACTTATGAACAAAAGTTTCACAAGGTAGAAAATGAAACAAAGACAAGTCTGAAAAGGAAAAGATCTTTATATATATAAGAATATTTACAAGGTCCGATCAGGACCCTACACAAAAAGATCAAAAATTAAAAACCCTAAGGTTCCTGATTTTCTCCGGGGGCAGTTTTTTCTCCATCGAGCTCCTCCCCGCTCTCAGACCCACTCTTGCTCTCGTCGACATCATCATCATCATTGGAAGCCAGGGCTCCAACCTCGGCTTCAAGCTCTTTAGCCTTTATTATCTCTTCGGTAAGATCGAAACCTCGAGCATAGATCTCCTCAAGGGTTTTCCTTCGAGATTGGCATTTGGCGAGTTCCGTAATCCAATATGCTCGAGTTTGATCGATCTCAGCTGCTTCTCTCGTTTGTACTTGAGCAGCTTCAGCATCGGCTCGGTAGACGGTCACGATCGCATCTTCCTCGGCTTTAACCTTTTCAGCTTCAGATTTGGCCTTTTCAAGTTTGGAAGCCAACCGAGCTTCGAGCTCCGCTATTTTTTTTCTTGAGCCGAGCTCTTCTCTTTTATGCCTCGAAGCAGACTTTCAGCCGATGACAATTGGGATAAGGCAGTCTCTTTTTCTGTAGCGAAGCGGTCCATACCTTTTTTCCACCCCAAGGTCTCCGCCTTTATCATGTTGACCTTCTCACGGAGTTGACCGATCATCTTGATCTTCTGCTGCAGCTGTGAGATCGAAATATTAGCCACCGTTCCCGAATCGAGCCCATGAGTTTTTAGGATTGTCATTACCTGCTCGGTCAGGTCGGTCTGATCTTGGTAAGCCTTGGCTAACTCGGCTCGGAGGTCCTTGGTCTCCTCTTCTCTTCGCCCACAGAGAAGTCTAAGGGCATTTCTCTCCTCCGTGAGCCTTCGGAGGTCGGCCTCGTACCAACTCAGCTCAGCTCGAGACCGAGAAAATGCTTCTTGATGAAGCGCTCAGACCTACACAGAAACAAGAAAAGAAGTTAGAAAAGAAAAACAAACATAAGGGTAATACCAACAAGTGGAGTTAAGGCTTAATCAATTCAGAGCTTGCTGCACTTCGTTGAAAAGGCTCGATGCCTCACCCGAGTCCTTCCTTGGGACCTCCAAGTCGCTCAGGCTGGTAGCATCTTTGACCCCAGTAAAATAATCATGGAAGGGATCCTCCCTTCCGTGGCCTCCTTCGATGGAAAGGGTCTTCAAGGCCCGAGCCTCTCGAATCATCTCCTCGGAAAATGAGGGGAGCAGCGGGGAGTCTCCAATTTCTATTGCCCAAGTGAATCACTTGGGACATTCTCTCCATCTCGGGGCCTCGAGGTTAGCCCCTTCAGCCGTACCCACTATTGGATCATTATGGTGGGGGGTAGCCTCGATCCTCGACAACTCGAGGACTTCGACCAATTCTCTTCCCGAGAATCCCTCATCACGAGATGGAATCTCTGTAGCCTTCACCGATTCAGTAGCCTTTGGGGCCTCGGTGCTCATTTTTACTCGGGCTACCAGCCCGGAGTCATCTTCTTCCTCTTCTTCATCTTCATCCCTAAGACGCCGAACAGAGTCTTCGGTCAGGAGTATGATATTCTTCCTCAGATTACGAGCCTTCTTCTTCTTAGGTTCCGGATTCTTGGAGGTTGAGATCTTTTTTCTCTTTTTGTCCTTCGCCGATTTTGGTGCCGGGATCGAAGTCTCCTCCTCACAAGATAAGGGCCTCATAACAACATCTTTACCAAGGCCTGTACAAAAAGAAAATAAGTAAGAAACGCTTTACAAAGTCAATAAAGACATGGGAAAGAAGCTTACTATGTGTTTTGGCCTCCAATCGACCCTTTGATAAATCGCGCCACGAGTGCTCGACATATGTAGAGGTCGAGGTCAGGTCCCGTACCCAGCTCTTAAGGTTAGGAATTGCACCCGGCATCCAAGCAACTGCTACATCATGGAAAAGGATATCGGTGAGAAAGAAACAAAGGATCAAAACAATAGGAGCTAACAGTAGAATTATACTTACGCTTCATATTCCATTTCTCGGGAAATGGCATCTTCTCTGCCGGGATAAGATTGGAAGTCTTTACTCGAACAAACCGGCTCATCCAACCTCGGTCCTTATCCTCGTATATGATCGAGAACAGTACTTTGGTAGCTCGATGTTGAAGTTTTATTAACCCACCTCGATAGAGGCGGGGGCTGTATAACCTGATGAGGTGGTCGAGTGTAAAAGGCATCCCCTCGACTTTGCTCACGAAAAATCGGAGCAGAATAATGATTCGCCAAAAGGAAGGGTGGATTTGTCCTAGGTTTATTTGATACTAGCGGCAGAAGTCAACGACAACGGGGTCGAGAGGGCCCAACGTGAAAGGGTAAGTGTACACACTTAAAAACCCTTCCGCATAGGTGGTGATATCTTCTTCGGGAGCCGGGATCATCACTTCTTTGTTTTCCCAGTTGCAATCTTTCCTTACCTGCTTGAGGTATCCCTCAGTTATCGAGCATATATATCTCGATACTGGCTCGCATCGATCGGGAACCGACGAGGCTTTATCGGTCTTAAAATCAGAAGTGAGAACACACCCCCAGTAACACACTCCTCAGGTCGTGGCTTCACCGGTGTTTTGTCGCCGGCAGGCCGCAATAAAGAGGCATTCTCTTTTTGAGGAACAATTTTTGACGTTTTGGCCGTCTAAATTTCTGTGAACAAAGATCAGAAGTATTTTGGTGTTTTGAGAAGAAATTTGCAGTGAAAATAACAGATTTGCAGATGAAGAACTCGGAATATGCGAAAAAGAACTTAGAAGATTTGGAGATTGGAGATCTAAAAGTAAAAAAATGGTAAAGAGAGGAGCTATTTATAGAGTTGGCAATGACAGTTCAATATCAGCAGTGACCGACCATCATCTGACGCATATTTAATGCCTTGGTAACTGAACCAACGGGACAGTTATCACATACGTCATGGCCGAGCTCGATGCAAACGTCAGTGTATATCTAGTCGTATTATTAGAAAATCATGTCGTTTCTCGCTACATTCTTCCCGAGAAATGAGGGGACTATCTGTATACGGTCAAAACCGGTTTTGCCCCTCATGTAATTAGTCAAGATTGGAATATGATGGACCGAGGGTCATTTTCATAATACCGAGATGAGATCTGAAGCCAGGTTACCAAGCTCAAGATTCAGGGACCGATCAATACCGAGCTCGAAGCCATTATCGAACTCGAGTCCAAATCGAACTATGATGTGAAGTGGTGTTATCGAACTCAATACCGAGCCCGAGTCAATATCGAGCTCGAAATCTGGAGATCGACCAATATCAAGTCCGACCAAGATCGAGCTAAGAGACAAGAGCCGTTGTAGCCGCACTTGGGGAGAGAATCTCGGCGGGAATTAAGGAAAAGCTAAATTAACTAATCTATCATGGGATCCCCACTATGTATTTTTTATTATATCCAAAGTAGGATCCCTCCATTATAAAAGAGTGGCTATCATTTCTGTAATGGGGCAATTCAACGTTAAGGCATCTACACACTCCCTTATTGAAAAGATTATTGATATTCACATATAGATACAGGAGAGATTATCCTTTTGTGAGCCTTGTACATTGATTTATCTTGCTTGTTCATAAATCGTTTTCTACTAAGTTTGGTTTGTATTTCATTCCTTTTTTACAGTCGATATTCGATATTTATTGCATACTTTTCTGATTTGTGCCAAGTTATACCACGTATCCTTAGAACTACGTATAAATTCAACTTTATCCGTTTTTCGGGTAAACACTTATATACACCCATCGAACTAGCTTTGAGATTTCATTGACAGAGTGCTCAATGAATGCCCTAAACATCTGGACAATATATTCCGCTGATGTCAACAACAAATATAATGCACATGCATGCAATTCAGTAAGCGAAAGTAGAAAGGGAAATTAAGGATATACAAAGATTAAGAGCCAGAATCTTCAAAAACATGAAATTAAGTAGAAAGAATCCTGCTACATATTGAGACAACTAACCCATGCATAAATGAAAAGAAGTTGCTATGGTTAATGAATTAAAAGCTAAAAGCTAGTCATTGTACAATAACAATAATCAGGAAATTAAAGTTGTCTAATTAATCGTGGAGGGGGTTCATATCTAAAGATAACCCGCTTACCCTCATCATTAGCCATGATCAGTTAAGAAAATAACATACCAAACGATAAAGAAAAATAAAGCCCATTTTTAGTTTCCTACTCTTCTTTTGGATCTCTCCTCATTTGGGATGGCACCATGTCCTGCAGAAGCCCATGATCTCTAGCCAAAGAGGAAGATGAAGAAGTAGAAGGCGAGAACCTTCTCTCTTGGGATGAATATAAGGAGGAATCACTAGTACTAATAAAGTTTATCGGTAATGTTGGTGTCTGAAAATAGGTTTGTTGTTGTTGTTGTTGTGATGCTTGATAATGGAATTGTGGGATAAATAAAGAGGAACTACCACCACCACCACCAATTGAGCCACCGTAGGCGGTGGCTTCCGGCAGAATGCCGATGCTGGTGCGAGGCGTAATGGGGCATGGATGAGTGTGAATACCTTCATAAGTGGTAACTACTATTGAAGTATCTTCGGATGACCTTTCCACTCTCTTCTTTACACCACATGTTGCGGTGGTGCAACGATAGTAGCTCCTTCACAACAAAAATTAATTTTAGCAAGAATAGTACTTATATATATATATATATATATATATATATATATATTAATCCAGTATGATTATAAAAGAAATAAACGACAAGAGCATTTATTTTTCATTAGTATTATGTATGTATGTAGTTGTGTGTGTGTTTGCGTGTACATGTGANTATATATAACAATACTCCATCTTGGTGGCTACCTTAGTGGAAGTTAGAAATTGATACCTTTATATATATAAGAGAACAACAACTATAATTTCTAATTATTTTCATATATAAAATCAGCGTCGTAAAATTTGATTGGCGTGATATACAAGAAATGGTGAAATTTTTTCTGGTTTGAAAGTCTCTTATTTTTTCCCATGGAGAGGTAAAAGTTGGAAAAGAGAATATTGTAGATATAGAGACGAATTTCATCCAAGAAGAAAAGAGGGAAAAACTGATAAACATGTGGTTAAAACAAATAAATGTGGCATTGTTGATTTTGGGGGTTCTTACCTTAGCATATATATTCCCATCGAACTAGCTTTGAGATTTCATTGACAGAGTGCTCAATGAGAATGCCACCCTGCTACATATATACTCCGCTGATGTCAACAACAAATATAATGCACATGCATGCAATTCAGTAAGCGAAAGTAGAAAGGGAAATTAAGGATATACAAAGATTAATTAAGAGCCAGAATCTTCAATAACATGAAATTAAGTAGAAAGAATCCTGCTACATATAACCCCATGCATAAATGAAAAGAAGTTGCTATGGTTAATTAATTAAAAGCTAAAAGCTAGTCATTGTACAATAACAATATATAATCAAGAAATTAAAGTTGTCTAATTAATTAATTAATGGTGGAGGGGGTTGATATCTAAAGATTATAACCCGCTTACCCTCATCATTCAGTTAAGAAAATAACATACCAAATTAAATGAAAAAGAATAAAGCCCATATTTTTAGTTTCCTACTCTTGTTTTGGATCTCTCCTCATTTGGGATGGCACCATGTCCTGCAGAAGCCCATGATCTCTAGCCAAAGAGGAAGAAGAAGAAGTAGAAGGCGAGAACCTTCTCTCTTGTGATGAATATAAGGAGGAATCACAAGTACTAATAAAGTTCATCGGTAATGTTGGTGTCTGAAAATAGGTCGGTTGTTGTTGTAATGCTTGATAATGGAATTGTGGGATAAATAAAGAGGAACCACCACCATTGCCGCCAAGACCACCAATTGAGCCACCGTAGGCGGTGGTTTCAGACAGAATGCCGATGCAGCTGCGAGGCGTAATGGGGCATGGATGAGTGTGAATACCTTCATAAGTTGTAACTACTATTGAAGTATCTTCAGATGACCTTTCCACTCTCTTCTTCACACCACATGTTGCGGTGGTGCAACGATAGTAGCTCCTTCACAACAAACAATTAATTTTAGCAGGGTTACTACTAATATATAAATATTAATCCAGTATGATTATAAAAGAAACGACAAGAGCATTTATTTTTCATTAGTATTATTATGTATGTTGTGTTTGCGTGTAGGTGTGAATATATATATATATATACAGTACCTGGGAAAGGGGCTGTTTTTTACTGCTTTTTGGCCGTACTTTCTCCATCTAAAACCATCATCCAAATGATCAACTTCGCTCTTTGTCATGAACGCAAATCTCGGCTCTCTTTGCCTCTTTTGGTTCTTCTTCTTGGGTTTTAACCTAAGCCACCAAAACCCATCATTTTTTTTTCCAATTAAAAGAAGACGAAATAACTTTAAGGGGACAAAGCTCATCAGAGAACATTAAATTATATTAGCGTAATCAAATCATGCATAAACCNCCCCCCCCCCCCCCACATAAAATCAAGATCTATCTTCCTGGGTTTTGTTAGTCAACATTTACTAGTTAATGTATAGAAGAACATTTATATTTAAAAAGAGGACTTCATGTCTTTATCCATAAAATAAAATTAAGGCTTACTGTTTCTTATTCTTGTGTTCATCATCATCATCTACTGTTTTAGTGGTGGCCTGTAGTTGATCATCATTGGCAGCAGCTTCAGTTGATGATGAAGAGATGGACGACGAATTAGGAGTATTTACAATCTCAGACGACGGAATCTTATTGACTATTTTAAGTTGTGATGGAACCAATAAAGGTACCGGTGGTGGTGGTGGAGGTTGAAGCAAATCGAATATAGAAGGAGTAGTAATTGGATGAGAAGAAAACATTAAGCTTAAAGAAGAACCCTTTTCTGTTTCACATGTTGGCATATCAAATAAAGAATAAGTACTCGCCGGAATCTGATCGGAAAATGTGGAAATTTCTAGTGATGAAGTGTCTGGTTTTAGCTTGTTTTCCTTGTCCGCCATGGACTTGATCAAAAGCATAGATTCTTCTTCTTTTGTTCCTCTAGTCTTATTGCAAACAACAAATTAAAAGGCAGAGAGAGATATAGATATAGACTTCACTTTTGTATAGGCTTTATGTTTGGGTTTGGGTATAGGATTTTTCAAGTGTGAAGAGACTTTTTGCTGAGTTGTGGGTACTTTATTTATTTGCTCAACCGGTTGGTCCCACTCCCATAGGGGAAAAATTGGTTTTCTTTCACCTAGGAGTTAGAGGTTGACCGGTAAATGCCGGTGGAGCACGACCGTGTTCAAATGGAAAATAATTGCTGGTTTTGACCTAAGTTCTTTTTAATAATTTTAAGTCATATTACCTCCATTTCAATTTACGTGAACCTATTTTCTTTTTAGTCCGTGCCAAAAAGAATGACCTCTTTTCTTATTTGGAAATAATTTATCTTTATGCAATGATTTATAGCCACACAAAATATATGTGCCTCATTTTACACCACAAGTTCAAAAGTCTTCTCTCTTTTCTTAAACTCTGTACCCAGTCAAATGAATTCATGTAAATTGAAACAGAGGGAGTATATATTAACAATGTAATAAACTTTTTATGTCATCAAATAATTTAATATATTGTATTCCATCCATTTCAATTTAGATGAGCTAGTTTGACTCGACACGGAGTTTAAGAAAATAAAGAAGACATTTGAAACTTATGGTTTTAAAAGTTTAAGGGGTAAAAGCTTTGTGGGGCCATGATATTTGTGTGATTATAAAAACTTCTCATTAACCGTAAAATTGATAAAATGAAGAGTTTAAATTAAAGTTGAAATATTTTCAATTGTAGAAATGTGTCATTCTTTTTGGAACAGACTAATAAGGAAAGTGTGTCACCTAAATCGAAATAATTTTTTTACAATGACATACTAGGTAAGTTTATTTATTTGACCATTTTAATTCAAACATGCTGTGTCGTGTAAATGCATTTGAGCGATTATAATGACCGCTTTAAAATATTCTCTACCATACGTACTGTATGTTTTTAAGCAAAAGGTAAAACACCCTATTTAGATTTTCACATCATCAGTTCCCTATCTATATACTAAAGAGATTTTTGAGGCATCATTGTTAGTTGTTTAGACGATGGTTACAGAATTAGTTAGCAGGCTAAGAAATTTTCCAATGTTACATGCTAGCAAAAAAGTTAGTTTGAAAGATAGTAACATGAGAGATTGGAATTGCAACTATTACTCTACTTACTCATTCTAATTCTAAAATGTTATTTTTCTATCTTCTCCTCTTTCATTTTGATAGTGCTAGTATTACCACCAACGAAATTTCAAAAGACAACAAATAATAACCACTATATATTTCATAACAATCCATTATTGAATGCTTAATCATAACATATAGTGTCATTATGCACGTTGCTATATCTCCATAGAGGAGACTGAAGATTTGTTGAGGGGAGCTTTTTGCAATAAATGTTAGCTAGGATTAAGAGGACCACCGCTCCGGCGAAATAGTCGGCGCTTTCATACGCGGGGTTGTTGACCGGTTACCGGAGAGTGTGAATAGGCTCAGCTTACACGTGGGAACTGTAAAGTGCAAAAAAAGAAAAGAAAGTTTGGCTCATTTACACGTGTGTTCTTCATTTCAGAAAGTATGATTTTCCCTTTCCACTTAATAAACCAAAAAACTCTTTCTTGAGGGAAAAGATTGTCCTTTCTTCCCTTCTATTTCCGCCCTCTTCTCTAATTCCCTCTTATACTCCTCCTCCTCCTCCTCCTTTTTCTTCTATCTTTTCCCAATCAAAAGGCACATTCGTTGATGTCATTTTAATAGTTGGTCTATCAAAATTATTTTGTGAATGATATAGGGCCCTCAGCCTTTTTAACCTATGATTTTTACATGTCCTCCATAATTAAGAAGAGTCCTTATAGTGATGATCATTTACTAACTAATATGATGTTATTGATAGGCTCCAATCACTATAGATGTAAGGGACCCAAATTTGGTAGCTTCAACCGATCAAAAATGCTTTCACATCTATTTTACGTAAGGAATTGAGTTATAAGCGCCGATAATACAACATATTTTTTTATACTATCAGTGTAATTTAACATTGTTTATCATATAATTAATGATTATCGATCAATGCTATAAAATAGAGTTACATACAATCACTTTTTAAATGATCTGATTGCATAAATATTTTTTACATCGTTAATATATTATAATTAAACTCCGTACCTAATGCATGACATAATTTTACTGCCACTCGCCGTAGAAAATTGAAAGAGAACAAAAAGACCAATTCCCCTCCAATTTGCTTTCAGTAGTCGTCGGAATTAATTCATTACAGAAAGGAGAAATAGTTTGCTGCAACCAACCTCATTCGTTGTATATATATCATTTGTTATTTTAACAAAACCATGGTTATGCGATCGATCTTTTTCATTATCTTTTTTTTTTTTTTTTTTTT